GTTGAGACAAAACGCTTAATGAGACTGGCGCTCGTCTCGTCAAAGTATTGCTTATCACATGAGGTACAAGGAACAGCATATGTGCCCACTTTCGAGGTAGAGGGAGGACTGTGTGGACCAGATTGCGATGGAGAGTGTTCACCTGGCGAAATATCAGCCTGCAGTTGAGAGTGTGAAGAGGGCGGCAGAGAGAGTAGCTCTCCTCAGCGTAAGGCAAGCTGAAGATGGGCAGGTGAGGAGTCCCTTTAAGAGAGGAGTCGTGGTAGAAGGTACGCCGTGCCCTGGATAACGCGACATCGAGAACATGTCGAGGTTAGCCCAGTTTGGAGAACGAAAGACGCAGGAAATTGATATCTCCATCCAGGTACTGGGGTTCACAGATGCAGAGGGCGTGGAGGAACAGCGAAGTGGCATACCTCTCTTTACATTGAGAGGATGGTATGAGAAGAAGTGTATGTACGTACGACTATGCAGTTTTAATCTAGTTTTTTGTTTTTTTTACACTATAGTATCAACACGGTAGAGTGTTTTACCATTCACTTAAACTTATGCAATACCAATATAAAGCAACTCATGAGCATGAATTAAAAAAAAATCCTTTATCAAAATATATTTTCCGATTTCATAGTCCTACTGAAGCCATCTAGTAAGATAGTATAAAAGTAAGAATTGTATTTCAGGGATTTCGTGATTATCGTGAATTTACTTTTTTTTTGGATTTTGTGAAATCCCTGATTTCACAACTTTACTGTAACACACACACACACACACACACACACACACACACACACACACACACACACACACACACACACACACACACACACACACACAAACACACACACAAACACACACACACACACACACACACACACACACACATATATATATTAACACATTCACAAACAATAACGTGTACACAAAGATGAAAAGGAAAGCAGACACAGTAAGAAATGAATATGCATTGTAAAGTTTCGAACTCTTCACGAGTTCCTCTTCAGACGAATAATAAACCGAAATGGATACAAGTTTCTATAGAAAAGCAATATAGGACATCGTACAACCAGTATGTATCCTTCTTTCCTTGTCGGCGCAACCTATAAACACCCTCATGGTACCACAAAATCTTTTGACTATCTTGAAAATATTTTCAATAAAATGTCAATAAAGAGAAAACCTCTTTTTATATTAGGTGATTTAAATGATGATCTAGATAAATCAAATGCAAAGTTAAATTGGATAATTAATAAAGATGAAATAAAACAAACAGATTACAGAAAATACCTCATCCATATCAGATGTTATAATAACGAACATACTCAATATTATACTTCACACAGACACTATCCCATGCCACAATGCTTATCACGAGCATTTATCCATGATCTCAAATGTAAAAAAAAAGAAAACGAATCACTAAAACGATTCTCATCTACTCTTCTGACATATTATAGCCAACCAATCATCACTCAGAGAACCTACCAACAGATGGCATTTACAGACAAGTTAATATTCAAACGGATGTGGTAAAGAACGGCATCGATGTTTTCGCTCCTTTTAAAACAAAAATAGCTGGACGTCCTCCCGCCCCTTGGATAAACGACAACATTAAGAGAGCCATACATGATAGAAATAATACTCACAAAGCTGTGACACCACCCTTCAGGCTGATTATAAACATAAGAAGAAAAATGTTAAAACGCTCCTCCAGTGTGAGAAAACAAACTATTTTAAAAGTTCAGTGACTAGAAATGAAACGTGTCTATGTGAGTGAAGATATACAGCGAGCATTGCCAGGCCAGTCTAGTTCTTCAATTATAGATTTATGAGGTATTGACTGAATGGTGGTGTCTCAGGGGGTGGTTAGTAATGGGTCACTATTAATATGTAGAAATGAAAAGGGTAGATCCACATGCACCAAGATGGCCATGAGATGGCATTGTGGTTTCCTGGATATTTCGGCTGCCCATTGTTCCGCCACTTCTCGCTGGTTAGCAGATGATTTTCGAGAAGACCTACAGTCCGTGTATTTTTGGAATGTTTTTAAACATGGCTTCGAAATATTTAGTAGTGCATTCCTCCAACAAAAGGGAAAAAGTATGAACCTTTTATCCGCGGCTTGAACAAACATGCTATCAGAATGTCTGTATGACAAATCATAAGATTAGTCTATACGTAGTCTATACGCCATCAAACTAAATATTGAAATATCTTTCTAGTGTACAGAAAATATTCCTTTGTTAAGAATATGCAATGAACTATGCTCTATAGCAGAGGGTCTCATTTTTTGTATCATTACCCCCGGCAGTATCGTGATAAATCATTCTTTGTGTGATGTGAAGCTAAAGGGAAAACATATTGGAATGTTTAGTTTGCTGTCCTTTTACATGTAAGAAATCACTTTTACTCAAGAAGTAAAGAATTTAGACATCATTCCTTTGAAAAAAATGAATTAAAACATTATTTCTTTGGTATTCATTTGAAAATAAACTTTACTGTTGCCTTGTCAATGGGAAGCTTGACATTGTTTGTCCTTTAATAGATGATCAGTGCGAGGGTTTGTAGACATTGCACATCGCGTTTCTCAAAAAAGAAAAAAAAAATCAGAAACAGACTCGCTCCCTCCATGGGGGTACATTACCAAGTTTGAGAATCACTGCTTTAAAGCAGCGTGGTTGGTGAGTCACTGCGTCTCTTAAAGAATGAAAAGAATAGGACCGCATAAATAAGGTGGATAAATAAACAGTATGAGTACAACAACAAATGCCATGCAAATCACAAGCGCCTCGTAAACACAAATCTAAAACGTGTGCAATAAATGCGACACAAGTCTATACTGAACTAACGCCAATATTTCAATTTCATATATCTAGGCTATGAACAGAGTTCACGTCTCTGGAATAGTGCTTAAAAAGCCGTGTACGCTTGCCATTGACATTCTCTTCCATTCTACGTCGCTGACTGTTCCACGCTTTCAAGCAGGGGAACCTAGTACTGTAATATTCAAGGCCTGTTCTCCACTGCTACCGGGACACCAACCTTTTCTGGTCTTTTAAATCGAGGTTCATCGTATAGTATAGTATATATATATATATATATATATATATATATATATATATATATATATATATATATATATATATATATATATATATAATTTGTATGTATGTCTATCTATCTATCTATCTATATATATATATTACACACACACACACAAACATATATGTATAAATAAATAAATAAATAAATAAATGTATATACGATGCGATTAAGATTTGCGAAGTTCTAGCTTCGCCCTTGCCTTCTTTATATGGCCCGGCCTGTGTCAGTCTCATTTTGTTCTCTGACACTCGGTGCTTACCGTGGTGGCGGGATTGCCAGTAGGCGCTCCTGCTGCCATGGTGTAAGCATACCGCATAATCAATTTACTAGCACGGCGGCTGTTGTTGGTGGTCACTCTCAGAAATTGTGTATGCTCACAATTTTGTAAGTAATTTATGAGTGTAGCGCTCGGCTCGTCGCAGTGCATGCAACCTCTCACAGTCTATTGTCTCTATGATCTGTCATGTACAGTGGAAGCCTAGGCGCATTCCGTGAAGAATGACTTCGGTACCTCTGTTGATTATTTCAGAGAGTGCCAGTGGTTCATAGCCTGTGGCGTCTGAGTACCAGCTGGCCGAGGGGGAGGATCTCGTTTCCTCTCTGTGAAGCAGGAGGAAGGTACGGGCGGCCGCAGTACACTTCTCTTTAAGTAATTTTCGGCTTGGTTTTATGATCATGTGGTTAGGGACCTAGTTAATGATTATTCTTCTACCCTGAGCAAGAATTCTTTGTGCTATGCTAAGTATTGTGGTCAGGAGGTAGATGTTGTCTTTGGGTGAGCCGTGCTGAAGATAGTCAATGGCTGCCCTGGAGTCTGTATGTATGACCGCGTGTCTTTCCCTTAGGGACGCGTGGGCAAGGGCTCTCATGATTGCAACTGCCTCTGCCTGTAGCGAGGAGGCGTTGTCTGTTACCCTCATGGATTGTGTGGCATCACTTGCTGCAAAGCCGGCGCCTGCAGTGTGGCTCAAGAGGTCGACTGATCCATCCATGAAGTATGTTCTACTACCCGGAAGAGTGATGGCTGCAATGGCCCTCTCGGCTTCTGCCTTTAGACTAGGGGTAGAGTACTGGCTCTTCTTCATTGACAAGTTCATTATAGAGAACTCTATCAAGGTTTGTGCCCACGGCGGGGCTTCGGCAAATTCAGAGTGGGGGGAGTCCATGCCCTTAACGAGAAGCTATTGTTTGAGCTGATAGCATATCAACACCCTGGCTGTGTGAGACAGCTAGGAGTTGTTTGCAAAGAGCTCGTTGTCTTGTTCTAGGCGTCTGACTAATTTTTGTTTTAGGCTTGTGTTCCTGGGAGCCTGGATGACCTTTGGCAGGAATTGTGTTGCCATTAGATCGATTCATGAGTCCAGGGGGATAAGGTTTGCCTCCATGAGGAAGTTGAGGACCTTCGTCCACCTCGGAGCACCCATGATGATCCTGGCAGCTTCATTTTGGACTATCTCCAATTTGTCTCAGTACCTTTTCTTTGTGGCAATTAGAGCGACTGAGGCATAGTCCACAATGGGCCAGACGGCATGTACATAGAATTCTCTTAGTACCCATTCCAAGTCCATTCCCTGGATTTTCAAACTTGTGCCTTGAACTCTATGTCTCAGAGCCTTGGCTTTGGATTTGGCTGCAGAGATCTTTAGTCCTGTCCTACAACACTCCTCGGTCACAAGGTTTATTTAGGCAGTATGGACCAGTAGAGGTGATAGCAAGATCGTCTGCGTAGGAGTTGATCTTACACTCCACTGGGAAGTTTATGTTGAGAATGCAGGACATTAAGGCGTTAGATAGGGCTGGACTGAGAACCCCACCCTGTGGCATTCCATTTTCTGGTGGCATGTGCCGTGATAGGTGACCCTGGGATTTGACTCTAGCTATTCTGTTCCTGAAGTAGT